ATACATAAAATCAGCTGATGAATTTAGTTCTGTAGCTGAACAGTTTTAGATCTCGACACTTAACAAACTCCTGCCTATCGTGACTCGGCACAAAAATTTAAAATATTGGTTCCGTACGTCATGCGGACTGCGCCCCTCGTGCGGATGGGCGTGAATGGAGGGTAAAAACCGCTGGTATATTATTATTATTATTATTATAATCGCCCTGATGGGCCATTTAAAAAATTAAGCATATTAAGGGCCGTAAACTTATCTATTTTAAACTGTAGTTAAATTGTTAATAGATAAGTTAACAGCCTTAACACTTTTACAGTATGTACATATGTATAAAAACGTAAGCAACATACAATACATCTATGTATATATATATCAGTCCTTAGTGTAAAAATTCATCTCTTACATAAATAAAAAAAAGATCAAATTAAGCATATACAACTTTTTCATGCCAAGTATGAATAAATTCTCCAAAGGGCTAAAAAAAGGGCTAGGGGCAATTTTAAATTTCTGTGGTAGCTAAATCTAGCCACCAAAAAGCTAAAACGGCAATACTGCTTGCAGGGCAGTTATTCCTTCTTAGTGCATTCCTCTATATTGCGTCGCGAAGTTATTTAGATTCCTTATAAAGTACAATCATTCTGCTTTTTAAAACTGCTTAAACATACTTATTCATTAGTTTATGTCATATTTAAATAACGATGTTTTCTTCTACTTAGCTAATATCAGAAAATTTAAGCACAAATAGACCTAACCACAATGATTTTCTGGCTTATGATATCCAACGTGGTCGAGATCATGGTTTAAGGAGCTATATAAATTACCTTGAATTTCACACTGGCAAAAAAATCAGTACCTGGACGCATCTTGAACCCTTTATCGCCATGGAAGTATGTAGCTTTAACTATTAAGTTCAATGGACAATAACATTTGAAATCACGTTCTAAACTTTAGGATTTGAACAAATTAAAATCCATTTACAACGACCTGAGCAAGATCGATCTTCTTGTTGGAGGTATGGCTGAAACTAATTCTTTCGGAGGTATAGTCGGACCAACGTTTAAGTATATTTTGGGTATGTATTGTCAATATTAAATTTTTAATAACTAAACCATTTTTGACTAGAGGTTGATACGAAGTGTAAGTAATGTGTAAACAGTGATGAAATTTGGGAGACTTTAACCTAATACAAATTTATTAAAAATTTCTAAAAAAAAGGCGTGCGTAGCACCGTACACATGAAGTGAAACTTCTTACAAAAGGTGTGAGTACCAGGTACTCACGAAATTTGATGTGTAAACATATGTTTACTGATCGGCAAACCATTAGGCGATAGAGTTACATACACACACAGGTTTGGTTAAGGTGTTCTTACACGATATGTATTTGCATGTATACATGCCACTTTTTACATATAGAAATGTCAACATATCGTGTAAAGGCAAATTAGATTTGTTTCTGTACAAAGCAGAAGCACGTACATACGAAATAGAAATGTTTCTATTTTCATCTGACACACAGATTGAATCGTGTGAGTTTAGTTTGTTGCGTTTTCAAAGAACGTATTTTTAAATAGTTAAATAAAGTCTGTGAATTTGGCAGACATACGCAATTACATATGTATTGGAAAAGCCACTTTTATAGATGGAATTACATATCGTGTAAGAACACCTTTAGAAAGTAAACATTAATTTAATTTCATTTTATTCATTTTCTGATATAAATACAACTTATTTATGTATTTTCCGGTAACACCACCGTATTCGCCCTACCAGCGTCCTTAACACCGGTTTGTAATGGAAGTAACTGAACGGAATGAACTGTCGCATAATTTTCTATTGTATATTTAACAAATAAATGCAAATGTTTATAACGCAATCAATAGATCCTTACGAATTCGCCGCGATTTGTTACGATTCTCCCCGTGCAATATAACCAAGGCATTAAGTAACGTACGCACTTTTGTTTGCAAAATGCATTTATTTAAGTTGAAAGAAGACAAATTCATTTGTTCGGCATTTCTTCTTAATCGCTTTCTATCTTTCAAGGGGAATTCATATATTCTTATCACGAATTCATATCCTATGTTCCTATGGAATAGTAGCTTGTGTCGAAAGGCTGGCTTTAGTATAATGCAGCATTCGCAGCATAGGACTGCGAATGACTCACTGGCGCCGTTGAAGAACTTTTGGCAAATAAATGTGCAAGAAATAGTTCCGATACTAGCAAGTTAGTATCCTTGTTAAGGGCCAATTTCACAGTGCGTAGTTAACTCAGAATCGGCAGTTAACTACAGATTTTTGTACCGATGAGTTAACTACGCACTGTGAAATTGTCGTCTAAGGAATAAAGGGAATGCCGCATTATACTTTAGCCAGCTTCCCGACATAAGCTACTATTCAATACGAACACAGATATATTCATTTGGTAGCAAGAGTATAAAAACAAAATATTATCTTACAAATTATACGCACAATTATCACGTTAATGCGCAGTCCAATTCACGAAATCATTTCATGGATTTGAGTAAAAACTCGGCGCATAAACTCCATTTCGCGTATAAATGAAATCATAAAATGGTGTTCATGTACCCAGTTTCTACTCAAACGCATGAAATGATTTCATGAATTGGCCTACGTCTGATGGTAGTAAATGACAGCATGAATTACAACAAGCACATCATTTTGACGTGATGCAAGCCTTAAACGTTGCGACCGTTGGTTCAGATCGATCCGAAATCAAGTTGGACTTTTTGCCCACAAACGTTGCAATTTTGCGAGCAATCTCATTGTAAAATCTCATTTTTACAATTTCAAAGTTTCGGCTTATATTTATAAAATTCAACAAAAGCAGGTACATATTTCGGCTGAGTTATCCATTTTGGGTTATTTAGAGAGCCAAATAAACTCAAAATATAATGACTTTGTACAACATGGTCAGTAATGTAAAACCAAGACACAACGGTCGCTACGTTTATGGCTTTCTTTAATGGCGTTTTTTGGTAGGTTTTGGCTGATTCTGGTAGGAAATTTTTGGTAGGAAAAAAATTTGTTCGTGGCTCCGCTATCAAGTTTGATTAATTTTTTTGCAATTTGTGCAAGCTTTGCAACTTTTGTTATTGTGGTTTCTGATATAGATTGAATTATATTTTAAACGAAAATTATTAAAAATAAATAAATAAACATAATTTGCAAGCAATATCGTTTTGAATTTCGTTGCTAATTAGTTGCACGCATCTGGACATATGCACATATTTTTAGATTTGTGTTTATGTATGTATATTTACTTAAGCGAATAAATTTTTTACATCAAAGATTTTTATAATATATTTTCTGGGAAGTAGAAAAAGTGGAAGGTATTTTATATTATATTATATTATATTATATATTATACATATATGTAAACAAAGCTACTAAGTATCTTATTTTTTCTATCGGTTTCCAAATATTTCTTTTTTTCCTTTTCTTGTCAAGAGTTTTAAATATGATTTTTTTGTATAAAAACAAAACCTTATCCAAATTTGTAATATTAGCAACGGGCTTTTTCGTGCTTATTCGTGCTCTTATGATATTTTACTGAACGCCCATACACGCACGAGTTCGTGCTGACAGCAAATATTCCGGCCCGTACATGCCCATCTCTACTTCAAACTCTTCATGTCCCGGAACCCCCCACATCCGACATAATATTTTGTTTTTTGGCCCCATTTGTCGCCCTACACAGACTTCGATTGCGAAGACTTTCGCCTGCAATATAGTTGGGTATGCGTAAGTTGGCAGAATTTCTGGAATTTTGGTCAAAATACGCCTGCCCCAGTTTTCTCGTCGTCCATCTGTACTGACGTACTTGGCAGAACTAATGCATCTCTACAATTGCATTGGCTCCTAGTTACCATTTCTCCTTAAGTTTGTATAAAGATATTTTTCTTTATTACCTTTGACCTAATATTTTGGTTGCTACTCCACTTCCGTTTCCATCCCACCTCCGCCTAGTTCCGAACGCTTCCATACAGCAGCTACGAAACATCCGAGACCCGATAACGATTTATCGATTATTATAGTTGTCACTGCTGCTATACTTCAGCTTCCGGGAAAAGACGTTCGTTCCTTTCTTCGTGGACAATCGACCCGGACACATCGCCGTCAAAATTCTAAAATTTTTGTATTGGTTTTCCCACAGTAGCATAACAAGTGGTTTAATATAAACCGAAGTGCCGAATATCGCTCTAAACTATAGTTTAAAGTGCATATTTCTACGTCTATAATCATTGATAAGAATACCTTTATAATCTCAATAGATATATAATGTTTTATTCCACACGTGTTCAAACACTGATTTCCTTAAACCTTTCATGGGGTTACTCCCCAACAATTCAACAACTGCCACCAAGAAGATAGCTGAAAGTCGGCTAGTCATAAAACGCCAGACTGACTGACGACGATTCTGGTGGGAATTCACACTCCAGGGTGTATCATCTACAATCGCTGGAATACTTTTGCATAGGCCCCGATTTCATAGGGACGCGAATGGACTCTCTGTCCACCAAGTGACCAAGTGAGTGGTTGCGTCCTAGCTAACGTGTTTAGTTAGACACCCGTTCCGCTAAACGCGAATTCCAAATAACCTGCGTACCTAGATTTTAACCAAATAATAAATTGCTGGTGAAGACCAGTGAGGATAGACTAAGATTCGAAATGAACTAAATGGATTGAATTTAATTATCTAGCTACTCAATTAACATAAAGCCGAATGTTTAAAACCCTATCTAATTAATATTCATACTTGCCTTTTTTTCCTCATACTTACCAAATACAAAGTTACATTTGATCATCACTAAGTTCTCCTTCCCTCATTATTTGGTGGGGAATCCACGTGGTACTGGAAGACAAGCTTACCTCAACAATATTTCTCGTCTTTTGTTTTCTCTTAGACTTTTTTTAGTTTTACCTACTTTTATTTTTCAAAATATGTATTAGCATATTTCATCATGTTTGCGAGGACATGAAAATATTTGGTATTAATTTTATTTTGTTATTAGCTCCCCTTTTGTCTGTATCTTCATTTGACATTTGAGCCATAGTTGCCAACTTGGTGCTTCAAGCACTAGATTTAGTGCTTTTTGAAAATTAAAACGCCAAAAAAAAATCATTTAGTGCCTAGTGCCTTTTTTAGTGCTTTTTTTCTGAACTAAAATTACTCCGATATAGTTAAAACCTGAAATAATTTTCAAATATTTAAAGCTGTGGCAGCACTGAATTTACAAAAATCTACAAATTTAAATGCACTTAAATACAACCATGATTGATAAAAAGCTGAACTTGCAAATTCACGCTTTTCAATTATATTCGCGTTGAAAATGCTAGTAGATATGCGAGTAAGTAAAGTATTTCTTTTTTTCTTTTCTAATTATTTATAAAAATTTGTATTTTTGTACCACCTGAGTAAAACACATGGTTTCTTGGTGCCGCACAATTGCCCTAGCACTAGAATTTTGAGATATCCTAACCTCAAAGTGCCAAAATCACGGTTTTTGGCGATATTTGAGGTTATATAATGAAAACAAAAAACTTAAAACCGAAAACTTAAAATTACCTCTTTTGGTAACTTTAGTTTCATAAAAGAAGTTTGTTAAGAAAATTGTTTAAGTTTAAAGTAAGAGAGCTAGAGAGGCGATATATGAATGTTATTCGGCGATATATGAATATTCGACGAAGCTTGGAGGCCTCTACGCTGCGTGGGACTGCCCTGCCGACATAAATGTAAGTGCCTTTTCACTATTTTCTACCAGTGTGACCAGATGATCGCAAAAAGCGGAGCTAAATTCCTTTTTAAAAAAGGTTAGAACAAGTTGTACGCTACGAAAATTAAAGTTAAAAAGAAGTCAGTATATTCATTCCTTAAAAACTTGATATGTTCCGCAAATTCGATTTTCTGTAAATAACTTCCTAAATAATTCTCGTAGCCAATAGCGGCTACATAACTTCGAAATATGCAAAAAAAAAATGTATAGGATAAGTCAAATGCAAAAATTTGAATATTTTTTACACCACGAAAACTCAATTTGCGAAAATATGTTTTAAAGCAAAATTGTTAGTATTGTTTTTTTAAAAAGCGGATAAAGTATTTTATCAAAGAACTTTGCACTGTTCTTGTAATATTTCAACGGTAAGTAGAAGTTTTAGAAATATTGAAGCTTTTTAGGAAGCTTAGATACTTATTTTTAACCGACTTCCAAAAAAGGAGAAGGTTATCAATTCACTGGAATATTTTTTTTTTCTTTTACGTATGTTACCGCATACGTGGTCCAAACGTCAACCGGTTTCGATAATTTTTCTATCAGAAAGGTTGTGTCTCACAGGTGGTCCCATACTAATTTGGTTTAAATCCGAACATTGGATCATGACAAAATTAACAGTACTCCTAAATTTTTATATGAGAATTGAAGTCGGTTGTGTTTTTTGCTTGGAGATTACTTGTTATAGATCCGGTTCGAATTTTATTATGAAGATTTTATTAAAAATTGCCAGAAAAAAGCCACGAAGTCAGATCTAAATTTCTGAGGCTTTGGCATAAAATTAAATGCTAAACCTAGCCTCGAAAAGGCTAACCCTGTCACACTGCACCTTACTATATAACGTATCTACATATACACATATATATATTTAATTTTTTTGGGTCCATCATCATGCACGTATGTTTAATGTAAGCTCATATACTGAGTGTCTTTGGTTTTCTGATCCTCCCGTTTGTGAGCGAGAAATAGTTAGTAGCTGAATTACATATGTATATATTGACGGATTGATTTTG